AAGAGCCAAGGTTGGTTACCCCTGCCCTAAACGAAGCTCTAAAGTTGTTAAAGGGTAAAGAAGGCAATACTTACACAGACTCCATTAGGTGTTGTACAAATGTTTGGAAAAATTTGGGCAGAAAGGGCTCTCCTTAATGCAAGAGGGAGAGATCTAGTGCATAGTGAACTTATTGTAGAAAACCTTGAGAATTTGTTATTACCAGAAGCAATAGCAGTAGTCCATGTAGACAGAGGGACACCAAAAACAAACCTCTTATGAGGCAAAAGGTAATTCTCTGGCTGATTCAGAAGCTAAGGCAGCAGCCTTAACTGAGGAACACATTACAATGTTCCCACTGATACTTCAGTTGGAAGTACCAAAACAAATTCCTGTGTTTACTACTAAGGAACAAGGGCAATTGGAACAATTGGGAGCCAGAAAAACAGAAAAAGGTGAATGGATGTTGCCTGGTGGCAGGCAAATGTTAAATAAACAAATCACTAAAGAATTACTGGCAATTTTACACCAAGGGAGTCACTGGGGAATGCAAGCATTATGTGATGCCCTTTTGCAAAAAATATGGATGTTATGGGTCCGGCTAATGAAACACCTCAAAGAACATCCAGGCATTGATTTTCCTAAAAGTAATTTATTGTTACAAAATGTCGGCACAGGCATAACGAGTTGATGCTAAGATCTGAAATTCATTTCCTCGGAGCAGTTAAATTATCAGCATGTTTCCTCCCTAAATTAGCTGTCATATATCACGTTATCCAATTAGTGTGAAGGTCAATGTTGGAGGAGTCTACACAGGAGCCTACACAGTAGCACAAGAAATTTGTGAGAGGTATTTGATCTGTAAAAAGACTAACAGACAAAACCTCTGGCAAAATTGGTTTTTTTCTTGCCTAAATGTAGAACCTTATTTTTTTCACCATTGAATTTCATTTTGTTAGATAGTGCCCAGTGTTCAAGTCTGTCCAGATCCTCCTGTATCTTAAGCCTGTCTTCTGGAGTGTTGGCTATTCCTGCCAGCTTGGTGTCGTCTACAGATTTGATGAGTTCCCCATCTATCCCCTCGTCCAAGTCGTTGATGAAGATGTTGAAAAGCACTGGGCCCAGAACAGAGACCTGGGGATTGTTGCCTGATGGCACATTGTGTTCCCCCCACGGATGTTTTTCTTGGTTTAATTCCTGCAAAAGAGGCTCCTGACTCAGTTGTAGTGACGATGAGGGCTTGCTGCGAGACCTGTGAGGAAACTCTAGGGCAGGGACAGGCAACCCGGGCTCTTTTATGACTTGTGGACTTCAACTCCCAGAATTCCTGAGCCAGCATGGCTCAGCTTGGAAACCTCTCCCTTTCCCCTCAGCATGGCTGGCTCAGGAATTCTGGGAGTTGAAGTCCACGAGTCATAAAAGAGCCAAGGTTCCTCACCCCTGACCTATCTGAGACAGAGGACTTAGGATCTGGATCCAAAGTTCCAGTGTTCACCCCTCCCCTTCACATGATCATGCTTTGGGTCAGGGGTAGGCAACCTTGGCTCTTTTATGACTCGTGGACTTCAACTCCCAGAATTCATGGCTCAGCTTGGAAACCTCTCCCTTTCCCCTCAGCATGGCTGGCTCAGGAATTCTGGGAGTTGAAGTCCACGAGTCATAAAAGAGCCCAGGTTGCCTACCCCTGCTCTAGGGCTAGGTGGCCCTGGAGAAAAGCTATTTATGTGGCCGCTAAGAGTAAAAAAACGACTTTTAATTAAAAAAATCATAGAATCCCCAGAGACAGAATGAGCGCATTTCCAGACTTATGCCATTAAGCGGAGCTCTTAAACAACACCAGTTGCTGGAAAACCGCCAATCTAATAGCGCAGTGTTTCTCAACCTTGACCATTTTAAGGCATGTGGACTCCAACTCCCAGAATTCCACAGCCAGCATTGCTGGCTGTGGAATTCTGGGAGTTGAAGTCCACATGCCTTAAAATGGTCAAGGTTGAGAAACACTGTAAATAGCGGTATTATGAGGCCGTGGCTGAGAGACGACAAATACAGGCAGTGAAAGAGTTAAAACCATCGAGCCTTGCTAGAAAGGATGTCGCGGAGAGGAGACAGACAGAGGAACTTCCTCTTCCGGCTCACTCTTTGGAGGAGGGAGGCGTGGCGGGTGGCAATCCTAAACTTCCCAAGGGTTGAAGCGGCTTTTGGAAGGTGAGTTAAAGGCAGGTCGGCGGAGAAGCCGGAAGCCAATAGAGCTGCCTTGTTTCCTCTGCGGTGTAAATGGAGAGAAGCAACTAGGCTGAAGCATGTCAGCTGCTACTGTATATTGTTTGCGTTCCTAAAAGCATATAAGGAGCGGCTGCTGGAATTGGGTATGTCTAGTTTAATGAAGAGAAGGACGAGGGTGGAACATGATAGCAGTGTTCCAATATCTCAGGGGCTGCCACAAAGAAGAGGGAGTCAAGCTATTTTCCAAGGCGCCTGAAGGCAGGACAAGAAGCAACGGGTGGAAACTAATCAAGGAGAGAAGCAACCTAGAACTAAGGAGAAACTTCCTGACAGTTAGAACAATTAACCAGTGGAACAACCTGCCTCCAGAAGCGGTGAA